AACTACCCTATTTTAGCTTTGTTAGATTCATTGCGACAAATTATTCAGTCTTGGTTCTGCAGACACAGAGAGTCCGCACAAGGCACTTTTACGACCTTGTCGAGCAAGTATGAGAAGAAGATAAGGGAAATGGGCATAGATATCAGAAAATTGAGGGTAATGTTAATTGCTGTGACCTAAACTATAATCTGTGACTTTCGATATCTTTTCTGTGACCTAAACCGAAATATGAAAATTCTTCTTTTTTTTGCCTCATAAAAGTTGTGTGACCATTTTCAACATCTGTAACTTTGAGCTGTGACCATTTTCAACATCTGTGACTTGAGCTGTGACCTGTACTGTGGTGTTTGTGTGATGTGTGCAATCTGATTTTGAAATCTGCACTTTTCATTCATGTCCTCCCAATTTGTTTACATGAATTATTGTGTGTATAACTTGCATCAATAATTGCAGGTTTCTCCCGTTAATCAGACAACGTTCTCAGTTAGCGGTGAAAGTTCATCTTTCTCTGTTGATATAGAGAAACATACATGCACATGTAGGATGCTTCAAGTTGATAAACTACCTTGTCCACACGCGTTAGCTGTGCTTGCAAGTATGACGATGGATCCATATGAATATTGTTCTTACTACTACACAAGTGAAGCATATAGAAACACTTACGAGGAAACCATTTTTCCCATCGGGAATCCAGTTGAATGGACAGTGCCAGATGATGTCAATGACATAGTTGTACTAGCACCTAATCAAAAGCGTAGTTGTGGAAGGCCAACTGAGAAGAGATTCAGATCAGCATATGAAGAGAATATAACTGTCAAATGTGGTCGGTGTGGTGAAAGTGGTCACAACCGCAGAACGTGCAGCAGCCTAATTCCATTAAGTAAGAGCCAATCGAAGAATAAAGAAAAGAAAAGGAGGAAGATAGACAATACACATTGACCTAATTTTTTTAACAACTTCTCTTTTTTTCATTTGTTGATTGTACGTAATGTAGAACGCAAAACATAAGAGGATACACATATTGATTCAATCATTACTAATAAATCTGGTATTTTTATTCATAAGTGTGCTGTGAACATAAATTCAAAATCTGTGACCTGTGTTGTGACATTAATGCAAAGTTCTGTGACTGTACAATCATAATATATGACCTACTGCATGTATGAAAACCTGTATGCGAAATGCTGGAATATATAAACTTCTACATTAAAAAATAACAGTGACCATATTGACGATCTGTGACTTGTGTTGTGACTTCAATGCAAATCACTGTTGTAGACAGAATATGTGACCATTCTACAAGTAAATCCAAAAAAAATTCTTATTTTTCGACAACACATTCTCCAAAAAAGCTGACAGAAAACCTCCGTTCTTTTTCTTCAATTTCGGAGTGCAATTATGGGAAGACATTTTAGCAATTATCTGTGATTGTGACTGTGACCTGACTTGTGACCCTATGCCAAAAATCTGTTTATATTTCATTGATAAACCTGCCAGTCACCTGTGCTGATGCCATTACACACCGACATCAATCATGCAAAATATGACACAATTTATCATTTGAAGACAAAGTAATTAAGTGCTCCAAAAACTACTGTAATAGTCGATATAAATTGTAAAAAGTAACAAGTAGTCATTACAAATGCATATCTAAAATAAGAGAACATGTTTCCATATATGACAACTTGTGACTCCACATTGAACTATCACTCTAAAGTAATGCTTTCTCCTCCAGTTTGTTGCACCTTCTTTGTGACCTTCTTGATTTCCCGATATCTAAACAACAATGATGCTACATCCAGCCGTGCTCTACCCGCATCGAACTTTATGGACATGGATCCTATCTCATCAT